AAAAAAAAAAGAATTTCGGATTACAGTGGATGTGAGTATTTTCTTTTACTTCTTGTAACGTATATTGGTAAAAAAATAAGTTATCGACGTATTGTTGTGTAAATAGAAATCAATGTGTGCGTACATGTATAGTTGTGCAGGTTGATGTGCTGTACAAGCACCCTATTTATGGATTTCTCTCTGTTTCCTCTAAGTTACAATATTATCTTTTCGTAGTTATTTGAAAGATCACTCATTTATTGGATTTTTCTTGTTCATACCATTAAACACTTCCAAATTCCAATGCCTTAAACTTCTTTCTGTTTCTTAATACTATTCCTTGATATCCATTCTTCTTTACCAAACATGCTGTTTGAGAACTTGTAGTCCTAAGAATTCAGCTCCTTTGTTGTCGAACTGTTTTTACTGTCTGCGGTTATAATATCAGGGCTTTCTTATTCTACCAGCTGCTTTGTTGGAGAGACACTATATATATATAGTTTCCATAATCTGGATTTGGCAGTTCCACCTTTCACATATTGTGCTGTACCTGCCTTCAATAAGCTTCTGCCATAGTAAAATCTCAGTTACATTTACTCTTTCTACCTACATTTTTAGATTGCTTTAAATGCATATCTTCGTGCATTCAGGTACATAATCATGAAGATGTAATTTCACGTGTAATGCCTTTAATGAAAAATCAAAATAATAGATCGAATAGCAGACAAAATCATACACTTTATTGCATATTTTCATATACTTAAACAGAACAACTTTTTAAAAGCCAATAAATCACTTTGAACCAAATTAGAAGTTAATGTGGGGTGTTGTACTTTGCCATAAATTTTTTGGTTGATAATATTGAGAAATGCTGGAACTCCCGGGATTACCTTGGCACTAGAGCCAAATCCAGGATTTAATCTCGAGCTCTATAGCAGCTCTGAATAATATTTGGTAAAAGGTTAAATCAGAAGTGTGGCCGTACAATTCCTCCCTATCAACTTAAAGCAAATACAGACAGTTGGCTTAAAATGGACCCAATAATTGCATTGCTTTTTCAAATTGCTATAATAAATTTGCCCTCTTCACATTGGATCCAATTCCTACTTGAAATTCTACAAATCCTATGTTATAATGAGAGAATAGAAATTGGACAACCCACCAACCAAATAAAGTTGTATATTAAGCATACTTGTGAATAGTTCCTACATGAACAAAAGACAAGCCCTAGCCGACATGCCGAATAGGGCAAGGCTTTCTATTTTAGCCCCGTTTGAGTCCAATCCTTTATTTATTTATTATTTTTTTTAAAACTCATTTTTAATCATGCATTCTTCCAATAAAATAATCTTGTACGTAAATATAATTTTTTTCACCATTTTAATCGTACATTCTCCTGGAGATTTCTAGACATGATTTGTTTTGCTAAATATAAGTTAGTTTCTGATTTTTGGCTTCTTTTCTCCACAAGTATCACATGCATGGTACTTTTTCTAATTGTTCAACTTTGAGTGGGTGACAATCTTTCTTTTATGTCAATCTTGTGCCTTTTCAACTAAATTTTAAGCCTCATTTATTTATTTATTTATTTTTTTTT